ATATGAAAAAATGAATCTCTCAGTTTTAGTTATCATATAACAAACATGAAAGTAATTCTTGGCACAACTTATCTTTACAACTAGGTTTTCTCTATATAATATATTAACATTTAATGAGAGTAATAATTTATAATTTACTCCAAAGAAATAAGCGATTTTAATGAACAAATATTGCACAAAGGATTATACTAAAGGCATTCAGTGTAAGATATGTCACAATACATTTTTCTCCTCCCAGTAAATTCAGAAACCACCGTCCTCATGTTTCCTTCAGCTTCAAGAATTTAACCCATAATATTATAAATCGAAGTGAGACTATTTAATACCATAGCATTTCGAGTGTTTTTCTTTGGTTGATGTACACAGAATAAATAATAAAAATATATAATGGTACTGTGTGGTTCCTTATGTTGAGAACGCAATAATAAGTTCCATGAAAGTATGGTTCGTTTTATGTATTTTATTTTAACTAAAGGATTTAAGCACAGGGTTGTGGTAAGTGATGTCTGTCTTAACAGTATTTTCTGTCATTTGCACTCTAGTGTCTAAATAATTCTGTTACAGAAAAAGGAACATAAGTGATTAAGCAAAATGCCCTTTTAATTCACAGCATTCTGCAAAATGCTATGAGGACAAGTAGGATGGCTTAGATGGAAGGCTTGCATGTGCGTGCGTGTTGAAGAGGTATATTGAGTACGACTGGGGGAAAAGTAGAGGGTGTGAAAATACTGAGAGTGGAACCTGTCTGCTGGAAGGAAGATCCCTTCATTCGTCAGAGAGACTGGATGTGAAAGGTGCTAAGCTTGATTCATACTGGTGATTGTGGGTGATGGTGGAAATAGAACCAACTTGAATTAGAGTTGTCCAGGCCTGTTTGACCTTTCAGGCTCAATCCCTGGAGTGAAACCACTATCTCTTTACAGCCATCATTGCCTCTCTGTTATCATGTACAGAAGATTAAAAACGGCTGTCAGAGCTAGGCATGCCCAGTAACCACGGGCAGGCTTTGACTGCAAGCAAAACGCTGTATCCATTTCCCTTTTACATCTGCATCAACTACCAGAGAGCAATCAGTGCTGTCAGCGGGAAGTCTTGTCTCCCTGTGAATGGACTGACCAGTCCAAACGGGTTGATTCTGGATCTACTTTGCTAAGATGCTCAGGTCAGGCAGTGGATTTTCAATTCTGCCACAAAATGGACACCCTTTAAAATTAGGTTAGTTTCTTCAAAAATATTATATATATAAAAAATATATATTATACACACATATATATGACATATGCCTTCTAAAAACATAACTTTAATGATTCATGTGGGAATTAATGTCTTATTTTGCACCCAAAACAAAACAGGTAATATTTCTTTTCCTCTCATCCCTAATATTTTTTCTATGATAATGTTTATGTAGGAGTTTATTATATAAATCACATAAAAGAGATACTTTAAATTTATCATAATAATAATACTGTTTGGCATAAGAAAGTTATCATCTCGTCCTGTTGTGATGGAGAAATAACAAAGAAGCTTCTTAAAATGGAAATGCAATTATATTATAATTTTAAATGATAATATAGTGAACTGTGTTTACATTTTTGAGACCTTGATAATTGGATTTAAACTTTGGACTCATTTTTCTCTATGTTGCCTTGAGTAATTTCCTTTTGCTAGTGATCATTGGAATCAAGAGTGTTGAGACTTTTTCCTCACATACTTTAGACATATTATCAGGAGATTGGTCCCTGGAGAAGGACCTCTTGCTTGGTAAAATAGAAGGCCAGAGAATAAAAGGATACCTGCAATGAGATGGAAGGACACAGTGGCTGCGACAATGGACTTAAATATAACAACAAAAGTGAGGATGGCACTGAACCAACCAGTAGGTCTTCTGGTTGTACGTAAGGTTCCTATGAGTCAGAACCCACTCAATGATACCTAATCACAGCAACCACAGCTGGTGTGTGTGTGTGTGTGTGTGTGTGTGTGTGTGTATGTATTCCTTGATAGGAAAAAGGAAAAATAACAAATTCAAACATTTAGGATTGAAAGATTATAGGTGGATAATTAGTGAATCATATTTTAATCACATTTTAACTTCCTTAAATTTATTTTTTAAATAATTTTAATTGCATTTGGCTTAATTGAATGTTTTATCATTAAACCTCTTGTTTGCTCACTTAATACTGACACAGAAATCAAATTAACTGCAGAAAGATAGTTCTGCAAATAGCTGCAGAAAGAGTGCCAGTTAAAAATGCCAGACGCCTACTACAGAAAAAAAAACAAACCTATCAATTGCTAATATGCAAATGAACCCAGAAATAAGGAAATTAAAACAAAGCTACAGAGCCAAAATATACCCTTGATTATATCCCACCGCAGTTTAAAGACCATCTCACTGATCGATTTGATACACTGAAGACTATGACCCCAAATTAGAGAAGTTGCAGGATAACATAATGGATATACATGAGGAAAGCGCACAGGTCTTTGCAATGATGGAAAGAAAGAAAGAAAATGCATAAATAAGTTTCAGAAAACCTTTCAAAACTTACTTTTAAATATATGGTAACTAAAACAAATCAAAAAAATGATTGATTAAAAACAGTGATGAACGTATGGGAAGAGCTGGAGGAAATCATGCTAAGTGAAGTAAGTCAGGCACAAAAGGACAAGTACAACATGAGTCCGCTGAGGTAAGCGTTAAAAAAAAA